TCATCTTTAAAACAGCTTAGCTAAAAATGGCACAAATCCCTACACAATCTGCACTCCATTTAAACTTGGATTTTATTGATTCCATTTAATTAAATCCCAACTGTTAATAGCATGTGATTTACAAATATAGTGGATCCAGAGTAAACTCTTCCTGTCATCCCTTTTGCTCACTGCAGTGTTCCCAATGCAGCAGCACCTACACTGATGGGGGAGCAGAGGGAGGAGTCAACAATTAATTGTTCAGAAAGGTAATAATCTCTGTCTCCTACACACACAGACTTTTCATCTCAATCTGTGACAGTAACTCAGCACAGAGCACCTCCCATGGACTAACAACCAGTTTGGGTTGTTAGTTGGGCTGCCTCTTGTATCCATAGTCCTTCCCACCAGTTGGTAATCCCCTGGGAATGCCTTGCCCTCAGACATGGCAGCCTCTGAAGGTAATAAAAGAACACACGTGTTTGCTACATGTTGCTGCAGAAAAGCAGCAAAAAGTGGTGGGTTTGCATTTGTATTTTTTAAAGTGTTGTGATAATGAAGTTCCACCACAGAGGAATTTACCCCGTGTGGCAAGAACCACTGAGAGAAAGAATTTTTATGGAAAAATTTCCTGCGTATTTTAAACCCAGGTGAGGGGTGACAAAGAATTTCCTGCTACCTGGGCTTTGCCAAACATCTTCCTCGTGGCAAAGGAATGAGGTGGCTGCACAAACACAAGAGGAGGCTCCAGGAGCAGGACAAGGCATAACTACAGGGCAGGATTTAGAGGGGGAGGATTCATTCATCTGTACATCACCTTCATGCTGTCTTTACCCTCCCCACTGGCCTTTAGCCCCCATGTGCAATTCTATCTTATTGTTTCCTTTATTTGGCTACTTTCTCACCTAGTAAATCTTCCAGATACCTTTTTTTTTTTCTGGACAGCCTGCACAAATTACATCATCCTTTTATCCTATTTCATAGTCTCCATGTGTGCAATAAAAACCAAGGAAGTAGCACAGCAATCCAGATGAAGTGGAAAGAAGTCTGGCAGGCTCATCCTTGCTGGCTGCAAAAAAAACATAATCCAGGAAAGATTTTGAAGCATTTTCCCAGGCTATTCCTCCAACTAATAGTCTTGTCAAGAAAAACATGACAGCTATTGGTGGACCTGCAAAGAAATGCTCTATTTTTAAACTGGAAACTCCCACAGATCTCCATGTTCCTATCAATACCAATGTGTTCCAAGTTAAAACAACTTACCAGAGCTTTGCAGCTGCACCATCCTGAATGTTCTATCACAAATTCCACTGCAGGGACAGCAGATCTGCATGACTTTCCCCAGTGGCACAGTCAGCCATCAGCAGGTGGAGGACTTTGCTGGTTTTATCCAAAGAAACACTGTTTGCCATAAGCTTTGGCTGAGACAGATCCCATGGATTCTGATCTGACAGTTCTGTTTGAATCTCGGGGCAAAAATGAAAACTACACCCATAAAAGAACAATCCCAAGGAGCAGAGCATGGTCAGGCCCTGGAGTGGAAGACATTCAAAACCCTTTGCAGGATCATGGCCCCAAGCATATTTCAACCCTTTCTACCCACGATCCATGTATTCCTGCTGTACACAAATGAGAGGAACGTTCCCACAACACTTGCTGTCTGTGTGTTATGACATGTGGTACTGGCAGGTGCAGCTGGATCTGCAGGACTTGGGGGTTTGTGTGTGTTTGCTCTATTTTTTTTAATGAAAAAGATGCTGTTTAATCTTTATCCAGCTATTCCTCACACCAGCAAAGAGACAGGAAGAAGCCAGTGTTGAGTTGTCCTTAAAGGCCACAATACTCAAATCCAAAATACTACATCATGGCCTTTCATTTTGGTGCATTATGAGTCAGGAAAGAACAAATGGAAAGAAGTAAGGGGGTTTCATGTGTCTGTAAGACCTCTGTGTGCTCCTGCTCCCCATTGTTTCCATGTGGACTATCTAGATTGCTCACTAAGCTGCTGGCATTGTGAGGGGTATCCTGCATTTATGCAATTCTCAGCAGCAGCTTAGGAACTGGCAAGGCTCTGGCTTGCAGGAAACTAGATGGGTTTGCAACCGAAGCCAAGAAGATTATGCAAACTTTCTGTACCTTGGAAAGAGTGCAACACACACTGAAGACAGTAAAGCTACACAGTTTTCCTCTACTCTAAATGCTATTCCTGTGTGCATTTTCAAAAAGCCCTCCATAGAGATAAAAAGCATTATCCTTATTTCCTCTGCTTTGGCTACAATTCCCACTTAATCCTTCACTGATGCTCCTGATATATTATTTAAAAAATCCAGAAATAACTAAAAAAATCCCCAAAGGAACATTTGAGAGAGAAATACTCTATTTTCCCAAGTGCTGAGTCACATAAAAAGTGTTTCCCCCCCTCAATTTTTACATTTTTTAGTTGGCTAATCACTTTCTTCTTTTGCTGCCACTACAAACATTACAGCAGTCACAGCCCAGTGTAGCAGATATTCCTACAATATTAACAACATAGTGAAGTTTGGCAACTTAATCCAGATTTTAAGTAGCATCAATGAGAGCAGAAATTGGTCAATGTGCATAATACCTTCCAGATTCAGATTTCTCACCCAGGTGCTCACTCAGAGGCAGTGCAGGCTACTGCTTCAGCCTTGTTTCTTAATCTAAGTTCCTTTTCTTTCTTATCTGTCTCATGCCATCCGACAACTCCTGACTGAACTGGTTGACAGGCTTTGACCACACAGAACTGTATAAGACAAATTAGATTTCTGCAAATTTTGTGAACATAAGGAACCATCAAGATGGACAGAGCAAGCCTCTGAGGGTCCTGAGGGAAGGAAAGGCACACCCTGCAGCATGTCCTGCATATTATTTGACCTCAGAGAAATCCCAAGAGGGAGCAAGAGGCAACACAAATGTCTCAGTATCTGGAAAATAATTCATTGCAAGTTTACAACCAACAATGAGACAGGAATCTGCAAGAAAGCAGGTTTTGCCAGTTCTGGTGCTCCCAGAACTACTCATTTCATGGAGAGAGGTCAACTCAAAAAACAAGCCAGACAATTACAGAGCATGGCTGCAGAATTACGGGGTATTTTAAACTGCCAAACATGGTTTGGCATTGAAAAAAAGGGTATCTCTTCAAACCCGGATACACATCCTGAGGAATAGTGAATAATGCAGGGCTCTGTGATTTAACAAGTTTTCAGAGTTAACATTTCAGGCAAAGCAGCTGCAAGAGAGAGAGAGAGATTCCCATTTGCTTGGAACGGGGCTAAATCAGGGCTCAATTGGTTTATTTTTACAAGCCAATGCTTTCTAGTTTCCCTGAGTTTGTCTGATTAGACACTGCATGCAAAGAATCCATAAGGGGCACTGGCTTATGATGTATGGCAGAAACAGCTTTTCCTACTCCAGCAACTACACCCTTATGTCTATTTATGTGTCTGTTCCTCGTCAGCAAACGAAGGCCCTTGGTGTGAGGCACCATTATGGTCACTGCTCCCTTCAGCTCTCCTTGGAACTGGAAAGCTTTTATTGATCTCTTCTGAAGCTTTCTGGATTCATCTGCAGCACTGCACTTCAGGGAAGTCCGCAAACAGATTCTTTTCAGATTAATTCTTATCTCCCTGCTTGCACACGCTCACCCTGTTCATGGTGACATGATATCACCGAGACATGGAAACCACAGCCTCCTCCTCCCCCTGACACACAGGCAGAGCCGAGCTCAGATTCCCCAGACCACAAAGGGCTTTGTGGTCTCCTGGAAAACAGGCAATTTTGAGAAGCAAACAAAGGGTCTGACCTCACCCAGACACATTGTTTAGGACCCAAGCACACACCACGGGACCATAACAGCAAGGCAGTGCAGTTGGCAGCACACTCGGCTGTGTGAGACTCGTGGCCCGGTGCCAACAGCTCCTCTGTTCTGCTCCACTCTCTGGGTGGCCTTGGGCCCTACCCTGCAAACTATTACCGGCACGGCCCTTCCCTGCTGGAGGCACCCCACTGATCCAGCAGCACCAGCCCAAGCCACGCTCTCAGAGCTCAGTGACCTGACATTTCATCTTGTGCTAAGGAAGGGAGGACAAGGATTGGAGTGACTTACACCTCTGCACCACTGCTGCTTGGAACTGTGCACTCAGCCTCCATCACAAGGCACTGCAGGAGCCTTATGACATATATTCTGCTTCCCAAAACCACAAGGGAAACATGAAGCCAGGGATTTCACCCTTTCCATTCAGGATGACTTGGCAGCAGCCAATCAATCATGTAAAAGCTTGCAATGCTACCAAGTTCCTCCCTTTGTAACAATCAAAAAAAGCCAGACCTGCCCCAGTAAATCTTCTCTCTCTGACTCCCACTTAACCTGAAGTTATTATGTGTTACTTTACGCTTTCAACAGAAGCTGATAAAGTCACCTTTCTTCAGCTGCTTGCTAAGGGTCCACTAATGGAAATTCTTTGGTGATCTGGAAGGTTATCTACACCTGCCTCCTGCCAAGCTCCTTGCTGCTGGAAGGATGGGCAGCACCAACTTTCAGCAACATACTACAGGAAAAGAAGCAGTACAAGTTATTTTTCTAGTTCTGAAGTTGCCCACTGACAGACCTCACAATTCAAAGACACCCACATGTAGAAATTACAAATCAGCAGTGAAAAAGTTGGGTGAAAGGATCTCTTATGAACGTGACACGCGACTTTGGAAGGTTTATCACAGTATCCCAGTAAATTAACCCAGATTACCTGGTAAGATATACAAATACAGGGTAGTTCTTCCAAGAGCAAGGCCTTTAGGACTCATTTACACAGAGGTCTATGGGAGTTCTGCCATGGCCTTACCAAAACTAGTTTGGGTCAACAATGAATAATTTATAGCCTGCATTTTTATATAACCAGCACATCACAGGGAACCACGAGGGACACTGCACACGTGCAGACTTCACACACAGACAGCTGACGTGATGAGAAACAAATCACAGGAGAGCAAAATTAAAAAAAATGTCCTAAAATGTGCATTTTATTTCATATCATTATACAATGTTTACAATACAGGTATACTTTTAAAACTGCTCAAAGAAAGTGTGAAAAAAAAAAAAAAGTGAGGCAAATATCGGTTTCAAAATTCCTCCCCCTCCCCAAAATCCACACAAATAAAATACATTTTAAACAATCTCTTCCAAATTAATGTTTTGTCCTGAATTTATTGAATCTTTCATTTCAACATGAAAAATACAATCAAATGAATACTCAAGGTGAAATGCTGACCTACACTTCTGTATTGAGTTGCAAGAACATAATTTAAAACCTCCAGGAGCCTTCACTTGTCTCTGTTGCTCACACACCTTCGTTTTACTGAATTAGAAGGCACAGAAAGTCCAAATTCTCACAGATCAGTAAAATTCTGGTAAAAATAAATTACTGTGCTGGACAGCTCCTGACTTGTCTGATATCAAACAAAAGACTTCAGTAGAACCTTTTGTTCAAAATAGCACCATTTCCACCTGATCTCTCCTGAACACCAATCATTCTTCTTGGGTCAAAACTGTAGTTGGCACTTGAGGTGGGACACTTTCTGCCACGGCCAGGATTCTTCAAAGACTAAGCACACTGAGTTGCTGAACTCTCTACAGAGTGTAGGTAACATTTTTGTTGGGAAATGGCACATTTAAACCATAATGGAACGTAGCTTAACCCGCATATGGCTTGCCCAGTTTGGTGTTTCCCTGACCCCTGCTTGGTACTTTAGCAGATGTTCTTGTGACTGTGGTGAAACTAAAATAAAGACACGTTTATGGGGCTTCACGGCAAGCAGGTGTAAAAATACAAAAACAAACAATGTGGTTGCTGCTAAGAAGGTTTTCACATGTTGTTTAACTCCAGTAAAGTTTGATCCAGCATCTGATGCATATTAAGGTTTTCTTCTTTGGCATGTGCCACTTTCTCTGTTGTGGGATTAGAAAATTAAAACATGAATAGCAGTTCTTTGGAGGCACTGATTCTCAGAACATGAAGGCATGCAATCATCACTGCTCTCAGAGGGTTTAGAAAGTTAAGAAATGTGCATGCTCATAAATACCAATGTTCCCAGACAACACAACCAGAGAGAATTCCAAATTAATTAAACAAACAACAAGTAATGCAAGTTTAGCACTGTTTACAGCTGCATTTGTTAAGAAAATGCACTGCCACCAGAGATGCAATTCTTGCATGTTCTGGAAGCTCTTTGCTTATAGGAATGTGTAAATGGCTTTTTAAAATTATTATTTTTTAAAGTAGCAATAAAGAAAATAATTAAGTTCTTTGCAGATCCCTACTTTAAGTTTCAGAGAATTCAGAAACGCAAAGAACGAAAAAAATAAAAATATTCTCTTCTTCAGTGAAGTGACCTTTATGAAATTTATTTCTTCTAGAAAATAAATAAAATTGAAGTTAGTAGCTTTATGTTGCATGCACACTTTTATAGGACAGTCATTTAACACACTTATTTAATACAATAAATGAGCATAATGTTCTAAAGGTGAATCCTACCAGAATCCAGCATAGTAATTTCACACTACTGCAAGCATACCTTCAAACTGATCAGGATTTTCAGGTGGAGCTCCCACGCTTTTTTATTTTTCCCCTCAAGTCAAATACAAGCCCAATTCATAGAAATGCAAAGTTATGGCACCAAAGTCTCCAGACAACAAAACAGCTGTAAGGATCCTTTAGGTTGGTTTGGAAACACACAAATTTGAATCCTGGTGAGTATTTTTCTCTCATTCCAGTAAAAATCTCAGAGCCAATTCACGTTGTCTCAGGCAATCTGAGTGCCTGACTGAGGCTGTTACTTTTTGGATACTCTCAGGAAAATGCTGTTTACTGAAGTGGAAAGAAGCCACTGCCCAGCCAAGAGCTTAGTGCTCCTCCAGAGCAGGTGTGCACACACACAATGAAAAGCCTCATCCAGAAGAAGCATTTTCATATTTTCCCCAAGAGAAACCGAGAATTTCATATATTATTTTACCACATCATCAACAGCTCAAAAAAAGAAAAATAAAAAAATCAATTTCTAGGTTTCTTGCTTATTTCTACTTTTAGTGATTCGTTCTTAAGGAAAATTTGGAAGAGGGTGTTTTTAAACAAGTTAACAATATGGTCACACTAAGGTTTAATCCTCATTCAAGGCCAGCTTTAGTTCATTAGTTAGGCGACTGTTTTGCTCAAGTTGCTGGTAGAGTTGGTCTGTACAGGCAGCAAGCAGGTTAGAAGGGAAAAAAAGAGGCAGAATGAAGACAGATTAGACAGAGAAAACAGTTAAATAAGAGTTAATAAAGAAACTGGTCACATGACAGACAGTTCAGTAACATACAGAGAAACACTTTACCTTTGTTTCTACAACTCTAGTAATTAAATAGCTACTCCAAGGAACAGCTATTATACTCCAAAGAACTGGCTAAGAATCCTGCTGGGGGGAACAGCTGTGGGACACAAAAACTGGAATAGGAACAGAACTGCAGCCATATTCCAACAGGTACCAAGTCCTGCTTTAGTCTTTTGTACAGCGTGTGGAAGATTTGTTTCATGAGTGCCATTTTTCTTTGCAAACTCTTTTAAGGTGTGGTGGAATCTCATCTGTCAGTGGAGGGAGAGCAACTGCATCACAACCAGCAGAAATAACAGCAGGAGATGCCAGGAGCCACCTACCACCAGGTCTGACTCAGCCCGTACGCCCTTCCCAGGGAATCTGATGGCTGAAATGCTATTTTTGGTTAGGAAAATATACTTCTGTTACTGCTATCAGCACCTTTTGATAACTTTAAATTGCCCAGCTGTGCTCTGCAAGAAAACAGACCCACATATTTGGTGAAAATGAAATGGAGGGATGAAAACCTGTGTTGCTCAAATACAGCAAACAGAGAGGACGAGTCGTGTCCACACAGAACAGCCAGGACTATGTTGTGACAGCACAGTTAGTGAGTTCTGCAGAGTGAAAGAACATTCCACAATGGCTTTTCACTGTCTTGTGTTCTCAAAGTGCCCATATTCTCCTCAATAGTCTAGATTCAAACTGCACTCCTGACCTCTTGATCCCAGATTATTCCCCTCCAGGAAATGACTGTTTCTGATTCTTTTCCACAAGCTTCCTAACAGCTTCCACAGAAATGCTCTTCCCCTGCAGGCACTGGACACAGCAAAGGCAAAGCTGTGCAATGAGCTGGGCTGCAGGACATGCTTGTGTGGTGAGTAACTCCTCCCAGCTTCCTCCCCAGCCCAAAGTCCAACAGCCAGCTCAGTAAAACTAGGGCACATTTCACAGCTCTGATCCGGGACCACTAACGACTGGGGCTTGTCTCTCTCATCAGGATAATGTCACATCCATGTGGAAAAAAGCATCCAGACCTCAGAGTAACTAAAATTTCACTTTGGCAAAGTGTATTTGGTTGTTATTTAAACACGACATTTGAGCTAAGAACTTGATCACAGGAAACCCCTCTCTGACTGAGGCAGAGATTTACACTATTCCTCAATGTCCGAAATGAGACTAAAACCCCCAGGTAAAGCAGGAAAGCATTTCCTGAGAGTACAGTGAGCCCTGGATCCCCCCCAGTCTGTCTGGGCTGTCCTTTGGCACAGAGCAGAGCCCTGTCAGCCAAGCCTGTGGTCAGGCTCTAGTGCAGACCCAGCAAGGCTCAGCCTCAGCTCAGCAGAGCCCAGGCAAACCAGAGCCCACATGGGAGGTGGAACATCACCACCAAGGGGGACAGGAGTGCTGGAACACCCTGCAGGGAGAAACCAGCAGTGCTCTGGGCAGTCAGGATCAGTGCAGCAGGACCAGCCAGGAACTCTGCACACAGTTACCTGGGTGTCTGCACTGCACTGCCCTGCCCAGCACTCTGCTCTCCTGCAGTGCAGAGCTGGTCACATGTGACTGACAGAAAAGGGAAAAATTAAATACTGATGTCCAAAATCATTATGTTAAAAATTGCCAGGGTCCTACAATGGATTTTGGGCTTTTTTTTTTTACTCTTCTTAAGAAACAACAGTATGGCAAGGAATCGAGGGGGAAAACAACACATTGCATCTCAACTGATGAGCAGTAACTTACTGAACTTTACTGCTTGAACTACCTCTGACTGCTGACACACATCCTGCTCTTGGCCAGCAACAATAGGATGTGTCGTGGGATAGAAAATTGGGATGCATCCATTTGCAAGCCTTATTAGGAAAACAAGTTTTGGGGAAGGGAGAAAATCTAGTCTAGACTGCACTGCTGAATCATCTTGGAGCTGAACAAGAAAGATATATTTACATTATTCTACAAGTTAAAAACTACAGTTCAGCTATAATAAGTTTATTTAGCTTTGCTGACTTAGGGACTTTAACAATTTATAGAGTGACCAGAAATCAATCCAGTTTAAACTGATTCACTTTAACATGAAATGGAAAATAACTCCTTTCACTGTAAAAAAAAAGAAGTTAAAATAAGGCAATAAACTCCCTAATTGCAAATAAAAGTATAAAAAAAAGCCAAGTGTCAGTATTTAATGCTTCATCCTAAATTAGGCACTGACAAATCAGCTGAAAGCCAATGTTCAGGCTTTCAAACTTGAAACCCATGATGTTCTACTTTGCAGCAGAATCATTACACTAATAGTATAATCCTGAGTTTTCCTACTCCAGTTTTGAAACACTTCTCATGAGTCTGCAATTCAAACTCACAAGTCTGAACTAAGCCCAAGAGTGGAAAACTACTGAAACCTCCCTGATGAACTTCCAATCCTATCATGCCACTCAAGAAAAATACATTGAAAAAAACCCCAAAAAGTTAGCAAGTAACATGTTTGCTGAATTAACTAAGGGTGAAAGAGGGAAAACTTTTTTGCAAGACAATTCAAGGACTATTTTTGGATGCAAAAAAAAGAAAGAATTTAAAATTTCCGATATTGTCCCTTTAAATCTGTCTCAAATATTTAAGTTAACGAACAAACACATTTATATGAAGACTAGAAGTCTTCAGCACCAAGCAAGGAGCAAATTTCAGGCTCTAAAGTGAAAAATGTGGTGTCAAGGATGTAACTGTCCTCTCAGCCACGCTCCCACGACCAAGTGACCCCAAGGAAGAAGTGTCCTTGCGGATTTTGGTCTAACAATAACAACTGAAAAAATTCCCATTACATCTATTTGTCATTTTATCTGCCTCATATTTTGAGAAAAACTAAGATAATAACTAATAACTGGCCGCTTTTGACACCAAGAGTAGTACTCTCATCCCACAGACTGCTCTCACTGGCTTGGCATTGTCAACCTTCAGGCAAAAGTGTTTGCAGATAAAAAAATGAAAACACGAGAAAAAATAAATCCCTGCAGGCAAAAAAGAGCATTTTTTTATTAATAACTTAAATAGTTACTTAAATAAATAAAAGGCAAGGGAATAGCAAAAGGGATACAGCTGGGATGTTTATTTTACATTGAGAAATGTAGTTTCTGTACAGCAGAGCACAAAGAGAGCATGTTCTGAGACAGGTGTAGAGAAGGAGAGTCAACTAAGCTAGAGGACAGGACAATGAACCCATGAAACATCCAAAGCTTGGGAAGATGTTTTATCCAACCCGATGGGGATGTCTTTGGAGAAGTGAAGCAAAGAAAATTATCTGCATGAAAAGAAAAAGTGAGATAAGGTAGAAAATGAAAAATAGGTGCAGTAAAGACTTCCAAAAAAGCAGCAACTGCACAGCAGAGCCTAGCATGCTGAGAGACTATACTACAGAAACAGCACACCATGCTGGGACTGGAATGTCCTCATGTAGCAGCAGAGTATAATTTAAGGTCTGTTTTCCATTTAGAAATATCCCAAATTGAAGAAATACTGTAATCTCTGTACATAGAGGAGGAAAAGAGAAAACCATTTGCTTGATAAACCACAGAGCAAAAGCATAGGTTGGGAGGGAATTTAAAAACAAAAAACAAAATCAAAGCATACAAAGCAGACAACATTAGACCTCTACTAAAATGTTGGTAGAGAGAGGGAGGAAAGCAGTGAACAGACACAGGGACGAAAAACTGCAAAGAAAAAAACATCTACAATATGGGTGCACACAAAACACACTTCAAGCTCTGAAAAAACCTTATGCCTTGTGGAAAGCATGCCAGCCTCCAGAAAGAAGTGCTGGGACTAAGCATGGCACCTCATAAGCACCTGAGAGCCACAGCCCCCTTCCCCTCTCCCACGTCAGCTGTGCAGGGCTCATGCAAGTGCAAGGGGTGAGCATGGGAAGGTGGATGTGTGCTTTCCTGTCATTACTTTTCTCCTTATGGCTCGAGTCGGTATTACCACATTTTTGGTATATGCAAATTAAATTACTACTACTATCCAGAAAACATGCAGAAGAAACCTATAAGCAATTGTGACTTTCATGGGTTTAAATGACAAAGTATTTTAAATTGATTTCTGCACCTGTAATTTAGTGATAACGAGTGAAATTTTCAGAGCAGTTAAGGCAATTTAGATAAACACTTTCCATTGTCATTATAAATGGAGAATATGGCTAAGTCTAAATTTCTTTGACATTTTTGTACAGAAATTTTGCCAGAGCAAAAAACTGTGACAGCAGGCAGAAGAGTACACTCCAAATACAACACATACCAAGGCAATTTTCTCTTGTAAAATGAACAAGAGGGAGCTGGTAGACAACGCTTGAACAGAGGTGAACTGAAAGGACAAACGGAGCTACAAAGGAAGGGCGACCCCAGGACACACGGACTGCAGGCACCGAAGGGAAGAGTAACCACGAGCTTACAAAATCACCATGAGGGTTTACCAGGCTAGGCACAACACTCACCCACACTTTGCCACGGTAAAGAAATTGTTCATGGTATTTTGTACACCTAAGTCTTGCTAAAGGAATGAGTCTCCCACTGCACAGGGGGACAATTTCACAAGCCGGCACCGCGCAATCAGTGAGGGTGGGGAAGCGGCAGCGGGGACAAGCTGGGAGGACATTTACATGGAAGTCATATCATTGAGAGCGTGGTCCAGCTCCTCACTGATGGCTTTGTACTTCAGTTTCTGAGCATACAGCTCATCTAATGGTCCCCCAGGGAAGGCAGGTGTGCAAGGGAATGGAGCGTGACCATGGGTGGAAGGTGAAGGTGGTGGCACGGGGACACCATCCAGAAGCCGCAGGAAGAGGGGAGAGGGCACAGAAAGAGGTGTTGTGACAGACAACATGAAAGAAAATCACAAAGTTAGAGAATAAAAATAAAAAAAAAAAAATCAGGAGCGAACAGTCTTATGTGTCAAGTCCATTAACTGCACTGCCAGTGGGGCAACCTGTGATACAGAGAAAACCAAGGAAAAAAGGGCACATGGGGAAAAAAAAAATCCATGTTTTGCTGCCCTGGATTTTTGCTTTAATGCACGTTAGGAGGGCACACAGGAGGCAAAGGAGAAAAGAGCCAAAAATGGGGCTCGAGGAGGATGTTACCATTTTCTACCACTATTTTTCCAAACCACTCTGGTTTGTGTGCTGGTATAAACTCAGCTTCTTACAGCAATTTTTGTTCTTTCTAAACACTTATCCTTCTTCTCTGCTTCCTTCCCAAGTCAGTGATCATAAATTTTCAGCAGCTACCTACGTATTCCACAGCCTTCATGCAGAATTCAGCCTGCCACACCAAGCCATTAAGCTTCTTAAAATCCTAGACTTGGTGTAAGGCATCTAAATAGTAACCTCCATGTAACTTCTAATTACAAAGCCCTACTGAATTATTTTCTCTGGAGGCAGGAAGCACATTCTGCTATTCTGCTGCAGTTCTGATAGTTTTATCAAAACCTTAAAACAAACTCTCTGAAGTTAAACAAGCTGTCCTTCTGATGATGTATACAATCTATTAGCTTTACTGAAAACCAACAACTGGTCTATGTCACAAAATGCCTACCCTGACCCACACTTGGCACAGTATTAAATTAGGTTAGCTTGCTACATTCCTAATTATTGCAAACATAACACAGCTCTTTAGTAAGATGATAATAACACTTACCACCTGATCATTCACCCTACACACTTATATACCTCCAAGTAGAAGAGTATAAAGCCAAAAAAATGAAAGGAGTCTTAAGAACATGAGAGAAAAAGGAACAGGCAAGAGCAAAACACTGTTCACCTGAAGCATTTAAGTTATCAATATATTTCAACTGGAAAATGTTTTGCCTATTTTGCTCTTTAGGCAGACCCATTTGTACAAGTGGGACAAGTCAGGCCAGTAGAATTGGGTAATGAAAAAAAAAAAACAAACCCACAAGGTCCCCCCTTAACAGCAGAATAAGAGACATGTATTTCTATAGTAAGTAAAAAACCAGAAGCCCATACCTTCTAGGTCATCAATGCTCTTCTCCAGCTTGGTTACTGACCTCTCAGCAAACTCAGCACGGGTCTCAGCCTGGGGTCAAGACAAACACAGACTGCTTTAGGAAACACACACACAGTACTTAGGAACAGTGCAGCAACAGCTCACATGAGGAAAAAAGTACAATCAGAGGAGGCAAATATATACTAATTTTTAGGAGGGACATTTAACACTAAACTCTTTCCAAAATGGTGTGTTCACCCTTAAGGCAAAGTAGTGTTTATATTAAAAGAATCAAATGTCCATTAGAAGACACATTGCAAAGAACAGCTCTAATTTTACCTCCTTCAGTTTGTCAGTCAGAACTTTAATCTCCTCTTCATATTTGTCTTCTTTCTGCGAGTACTGTAATTAGAAAGAGGATCACTGGTATTAGATCAGGTATTCTAAATACACCAAAAAAACCACATTTGAAACTCTCTTCTAACAGATCATGTGTACACAAGAAACTAACATGGGTAAAACTAAATTAATTCCAGTTACAAGGCTGTGGTAATGCAGTTTATTACAAGAGTCAAACTTCCCTTGAGATGTATTGCAGTGCAATAAGGTGGGAACTCCAAGCAGAAATTAGTACTACACTTTTTCTAAAGAGGAGTAATGTTTGGAGAAACTGAATATTAGTACACAGTGCCAGCTGGAGGGTAATTCCATAAATAATATTTAATCCTGTCAGAGTACTTAAGAGAACGTGTGGCCAACTAATACTGACCTATTTGGAACTGGGAGATATGCTGTGTTCAGTGAGAGCCAAATATGAGTTGAGTAGTGAGTCCAAGTGCTTCTACAGACAGTGGCCCTGCAGAAATGCTGCAGTGACCAGTATTTCCATATAAAGGAAACCCCACAGGCCAGATGACAAGTAAGGGACACATTCTCACATAAGTCTCTATCCTACCTTCTCAGCCTGAGCCTCCAGCGACTTCAGGTTGTTGGTCACAGTTTTCAACTCCTCTTCAAGCTCAGCACATTTGCTGTTATTTCGGAGGGAAGGCAGGAAAGGGGCGGATGGAAGATTCAGTCAAGCAAAAGAAACAGGAGAAAATAGGGGGGAAAAGATAGAGAAAAATGAAAACAATTACGGGGCAAAAGAACGGCCTCAAAAGCAGCTGATCCATCACAGATTGAAAGCGGCTCTTTGTGATGCCAAATATCACTTCAAGTGCACACTGAGACGATGACCATAAAGGAATTTCTCTACAGCCCTTGGCTTACACAGAAACATTTACAGAGCTTTTACATGTGAGACAGTTCAGCTTCTTTTGGCTGCACAGGAGATCAGTTTTAAAGGTAAAAATGAATAAATAAACAAAAAAGAGACCAAAGAAAACCACCAAAGCAAGATGCAAAGAGAGTGAAGAGCATAGCAAGGACTGATTTGTTACTACTGAGTGAGCTAATCAGCTATGGAAGCTGAAAGACTTGGGTTGCAGTTAAACCTAAGAACTGTTTATTAGTGTCAGTACCTTATCCTCTGCAGCCATTAATGCTTTCAAGGTTTGATCCATTATTCTTAACTGTTCTTCCAGCTGTCGGACTTGGCTGTTAGTGAACACATGAAATGCACAAAAGCCATTCACAAAATCAGTGTGCAGGTACAGCATGCAGTGACAAAACACAAACAACACATTTACTTCGTTTACTTCAACGATTACAGTAAATGAGCAAAACAGCGAAACATAGCTTGGAGCTGAACACACAGTGTGCTGCCAACAGTCCATGCTGTTATAGTCATCCTGGGGCACCCCACAAGAGGCAGTTCAACACTTACCTTTCTGACAGCTCAGCACGTTCCTCAGCCCGCTCCAGGTCGCTCTCAATGATCACCAGCTTACGAGCCACCTACAAGAGAAGCCCCTGGACACTCAGATTTTATGTTGCTGCAGCACAGGTCACCTGCTTCTAGAACCTACTAAGCAGGGGGTTGGGCCTCTTCTCGTTTTTTTGGTCAACACATGAGTTTTGATTCTGTGACATCTTCATTAATCATTTGAGTCTTAGTTATCTGACATTTTTCAAGACCTCTCTTTCATTCCCCAAAAGACAACTTCAAAATTGGTCTTTTTCTCCCTAAGAGCCTAGGGAACACTCTCAAACATTCTGGCACAAAGCTCGAAGCACAGATCTCCTGCCACCTTGTCCCCTGAGGTGTCCATTTCTCCCTTCACAGATGTGAAGAGTGGTGTTTGTGACCCTTTGAACTTAAAGGGAAAAGGAGGAAAAAATAAGGTACAGGCAGAGCCTAACGGACTTTAGAAAGAGGTGACCTGCCCTCAGGAACTGACCTCTTCATACTTGCGGTCGGCCTCTTCAGCAATGTGCTTGGCCTCTTTGAGCTGGATCTCCTGGATTTCCATCTTCTCTTCATCCTTCTGGGCTCTATTTTCAATGACCTTCATTCCTCTGAAAGATGTGAAAAACAGGAAATACGAGGGTCAGGGCTTGCCAGTTTATCTCCAGCTCCACTGCTGGTGGAGTGAGACTTGCAGACAGTGGCATTAAGGTGAATGAAGAACATCACACAGTTGAGTCTTCACACCATAGATCTAGTCCTGTGCACTCACACCCAGAAGTCCAAAGAACAAAACACGTCTTAGGAAGAAAGAAAGTGTGATTTGTTTAGCTCTCAACCACAGTTCAGCTGTACTATCCTTTCTCATTTTAAATTGAATGAAAACTCATCTTATAGAAAGGTAAGTAAAGACCTAATAGGATGACTGAAAACATCTGTGCTTTTACACTTATCATCAAACAGCACACTACAACCCTTGCAGGACTGACAAGAACCATGTTTATGGGCCAGACTCCCCTGAGCTTTGCCATGTCAGAGCTCTAGAACACTGGAGCTCTCTGTGCCCTGCATAAGCACAATTTTAACTCCTTCATAACAGGAAACACTGTGTGTTGCACATCTGACCCAAATTCTCTAAGTGTTTCAAAACATACTGTGAGTCTCTGGTGTTTTTCTGTTCAACAGGCTGCGTAGTTAGTGAGGCAGAAATACATATGCAGAATATGTGGGCTTCTTTCACAATAAAAGGTACTATCACAGATAAAAAATACAATTTATAGAAGAGAGATGATCTTCCAAAGTCACAAATCTTGAGTTCCTAACTCACATTATGGACTTCTGGAAATCTGAAGGAATTATAAGCCTCTTTCCTTTGCTCACCTTCTTGTGCTAATCTTGCCAACAGGAGAATCAAAGCCTCTTCCAGCACTTTGCTATTCTCCAGATGAGATTTTCTACCCACAGTGAAATCCAGAACCGCCCAACAGCACAAGAAGTTGCCATCCAAACAGAGAAATCTGCGCTTGGTCAGCCGGTTTTCACAGGATGTGACATGATTCATCACAGGGCCTATCCCACTCAAACCTCATCTTTACAACTGAAAAAGAATTCAAGCCTACGTATTTTGGACATTCCTCCAGACAAGCTGTAACTGAAGTCCACGTACACAAAGGCAGAGTAGATTACAAATGTTCAGAGACACAGGAGTGGTCTAATTTACTTCCCTGACCCACACCCTGGCAATTAGGATCTTTGTCATGAGGGTAACGATCCATTCAGGAGTGCCCCACCCACCTTTCACTCTCATCTGCAGCCTTCTCAGCCTCCTCCAGCTTCTGCAGGGCAGTGGCCAAGCGCTCCTGAGCCCGATCCAACTCTTCCTCAACCAGCTGGATGCGTCTGTTCAGAGAAGCCACTTCGCTCTCAGCCTAAGCACAGGAAGAACAGAAATTAGTTCATGGTAAGGCACACATCACCTCTTGTGAGACTGTCCCATTTACCTGCTAGTGCCATTTAATAGCACTTCCCTAATTGCTGACTTCAGCCACTATGAAGTCCCTACACGTGGATGTACCTGCCCTCATTGAATTGTGAAGTTATTGCTTAACAGAGGAAAAAGTGATTAATGCTTCCTTTCAATGAAGCACATCAAGGACTGTACAATTTGTACTAGAAAGAACTGCACTGGAAGAATTATGCACTGTTACCTGAATATTTTCTGTTATTGTATTTGCAGATATTAATCACAGACCCCCCCCCCCTTTTTTTTGTTAAATCAACACAAACCAATTATGAGCCTTCTATTACCCTAAATCCTTTATTTGTGACCTTTCACCACATTTGGGTAAGAATTGTCCCAGTATTTCCTGGAGTTCCAGAAGGGTTCAGCGTAAACACACAAAAATACACCTGGATCAGCTGCCACAGAGTGAGCATGAGAACATTTAAGAAGTGCCTCAGTACCCCGAAGTTTTATTTACAGGCAAATTATGCAAGACCTGATAAAAAAAGGCACCAGCAGAGGCTACATCTCAAGAAGGGCCCTGGTACAGGCAACAACCACTTAAAACACCTTCTCCTTTTGTTTTTTTCCCCACAGTGCCATCCTCAAACTTCCTCTAGATTTGTCTCTCTGGCATTATTATCTGTTCACTTAATCTTCTGTATAACCCTTGCAACTCATCTGCCTCTTATCACTACAAGCTCTTACTCCTGACATCCTCAAAACTACCCTTGTTTAAGTTGCAGAGTAAGTTCTACAACAGCCTCCTCACGGTAACCTCGTTATAAAACTTTCTTTCAAAACTATATTAAGCACAAAATATATATAAAAAGGTCATTATTATAAAAAGTTAATAACTTCCGAGAATAACTGTCTTAAATAGTACTGAAAATTAACATAGATGATATATATATATGCTCTATATGAACATGCACACATCTGAATTTCCTGTGATGTCCAGTTGAGGAGGGAACCAACCCTCCAGCAAAAGCAGATACCAAAAGTATCAATTTGGTGCTTTTTCTTTTCTAACCAGAGGCAGCTGGATACAGTTGGCTGCAGTGAAAATTTTGCTGTACATAACAGAAGGAAGAGTAACTTACAGACCAGACAAGTAAAACTACCTTTGACATAACAGTAACAATGCCCCACTAGAATGACTGAAAGCAACACAGAAGCAGAGAAGCAAATATGTCTTTGAACATTAATATGTACTGGCAGTGAACATGGAGAACCAGAAGAGACTTCATTCTTAGAGATCCATATTAATCCAAATATAGAATATTTTGCTATGTGTATTCCAAGCCTGTCTTTTCAGATTTCTGGCTTTAAGTAGTAAGAATTTGAACTTTCTGTTTTAAGGAAGAAAATAACCTTTCACAAATGTTACTCTTGGGAAATTTGTAATGTTACCAGCTAATTATTATCATGCCAAGACCCCTCACCATGATAAGAACATACAATGCGCCTCCAAAACACCGAGTGAGTAAAGTTCAAGTTTTTACTTCCTGCTCCAGTAACTCACTCAGGATTTACCAACCAGCCTTATATGGCCCAAGTTATTCTTCTGCAGAGCAGGACTTCTCTCCTTATATGGCAAGGCAGGAAAAAACCCCAGTGACATTCAGGGGCACTCCCACAGCTACCAGACAAACACAACCTCCTGTGTGTCTGCCACACCACTTACACACCACATATTTCCCCAGTGAGAGATGACATGGGTAAGTTACCATCGGGTGTTAATTATTACTATTGCAAGGGAGAGTCTGTTTTCCAGAAGAAGGAAGAAAAGAAGGAAGAAAAATGCATTTTGAAAATGCGATTTCCAACAGCCCCTTGAGATGCCTGTACTGGAGACAGAACAGATTCTTTTTTAAGGCAATGGCTGCTAATCACAGCCTTGAAACTTTCAACAATCTGGTTTAACAATCAAGAGCGGTAGGCTGTGATGTGTTTTGGCCACAGCTTTAGCTTTTTCATTGTTTGCTATCTGTACCTTGCACAGGAAGAAAATAAAACCCACATAACAACCCTGGCTGGTCACATGCTGTACACGTAAGGATTGCACTGAAGGAAGGGTCAGATTCACACCTCTGCTCTCTTCTGCAACGCTCCCAAAGCCTCCCTCCTCAAGCATGCAGAAATACAGCTGCAATAGTAAAAACCCCCACTGTAAAAAAGGCACACATCTACCTGAGCCTGGGAGTTCAGTTTTCCACCTTTATCCACCCCAGCACTGACCCCTCCAAACAAAAATTTAAATTTACCGTGCAAATGCACTCTGCAAAATTCCACATCATCCACAAAAACCAACTCCAGGGAAGACACAAGCACTAACCTTTAGGTCCTTTATAGCAATGTAGCTGAGCTCTTAAGGGAAGACTTCACCAGTGAGCTACCATCACTTCTCCAGCACTATTCCTTCTGCCACAAAGCTTCCCATTTCAATAGAAATCCCGCTACGTGTTGTTTAGAATAATATATGTTACTGAAAGTAGAATAACTGGTGTCCTTTACTCCACCAAACTTAGAAAATGAATACAAGTTTTTTTAAAGACAGAAAGTCTTATGAAACCAGTTTATGACTGTGACACGGTCCTTCACCAAAAAAAATGGATATGCCAAGTGAGCTGCAAGAATGCAGTAGTTACACAAGCATAGTAGCCATATTTTGCTCCATCAGGAAGATCACCTGCAAGTAATCTGCAGGCTCTTCCTCTGAACTTGCTGCCTGGAATGTGCAGGAAGCCCCATATTATAAGGAAATCTAATAATCGCCATTTTTTCTGTTGCAGTAAACTACACAAGAAAGTTGTTCTTTTGCTTCCCTTTCATACAACCACAGAAGACACTCAAACTGCCTCAAAGGATACTGCGCATTTTATAGCAGGAAACATTAAATTACAGCTGCTAGAATTCCCCAAGGTCAATGGCAAGACAAACAACAGCCCTATCAGGTTTTTTTGCTGTAACTGCCACACATAACTACATCTCTCTGCTCTCTAAGTTGCTCACCCCTGATCTCATCTCTGCCTAAACCCAAGCCTGCTGTTCCTTTCCCACCCCAGCAAGCAGTTTTGAGGAGCAGCACCCAGCAGAGCTGTTCAGCCACCCGATCACACCGTTGTGCGTTCAGGTGCCGGGGCCATCTCAGGTTCAGCCCCAGGTACGTAACTTCCCAAGTGTCGCCATGCTGATTCCCAGATGAGCTCGCTCGGATGGCAAAAAAGAACTAGGGCTTGTGGGAAAAAAAGAAAAAACCACAAAAGCTTGCTCAGAACCTGACACAAAGCACCGAATCGCAAACATCTCTCCTAAACTCAGGCTCGCAGCAGCCGGGCGCTGTGCCGCGGGCCCGCGGAGCGGGGCAGGCACCGCACCCCCGCCCGCCCCGCAGCACCCGGGGCCGCCCGCGGCAGGAGCGGCCGTGCGGGCGGGGACAGCGGCGAAGGAAAGGTCGGGGAGCCGCGCGGAACGAGGGTCCCCCGCCCGCTCCCCCCGGGCCGAGGGGCGGCCGTACCTCCTCCCGCAGCGCCCGCTCCTGGTCCACCTCCCGCTGCAGCCGTCCCGCCCGCTCCTCGGCCGCGTCCGCCTGCTCCTGCAGGCTGCGGATCTTCCTGCGCACGGCCTCGAGCGAGCTCATCGCCGCCATTCCCGCCGCGCCCTGCCCGTCCTGCCGCCCGCCCGGCCCTGCCTCGCCTCGCCCGCCTCCCTCCGCCCGCCGCGGCCCCGGAAGTCCCCCCGCGCCGAGCGCTCCGGGGCGGGGCCGGCACCGGCGTGGGAGCGGGGCGGGACCGGGCACGGCCGGGGATGGGCCGATCCAGCCGGGAATGGGCCGGTCCTGCCGGGAATCCTGCCGAGGATCGCCGGTGCCGCCGCTCCCGCTCGGGCCGGGGATAGACCGGGGCTGTGCCGGGGCAGTGCCAGTCCCGCTGCGGGCCGGGGCTGTGCCGGTCCCGGCTGTACCGGGGCTGTACTGGGGATGGGCTTTGCCGATCCTGCCGGTCCACTCTGGCCGGGGACGGGCTGTGCCGGGGATGGGCTGTACCGGGGCAGTGCCGCTCCCGGTCGGGGCTGTACCGGCGCTGCGACGCTCCCGGGTTG